TGGCTTTGCGAAGAACAGTTGGCTTCTGTTGTTGGCTGCACCGCGCTGATGAGGCCAATAGCCAGAAACACGTGTCCGCGTTTGGTTTGCCCTCTTTTTTTTTTGAGTGTTATGTCCACGAATTATTTCATTCTTGGACATTTCATTCTTAAGTACCCGAATGTGTATATACGTGGCAATGTGTGTATATTACATAGAACGTGACTTTTACAATTGCGATATCTCAGGAACGGTGATACTTACAGAAAACCATTTTTGTAGAGAATTTTGAGATCTACAACTTTGGCCAGAGGTATTTTTTGATAGAACTTACGGGTTTCGAGAAAAATTCAAAAAACCTGAAATTTTGACCTTTGACCCCAAATAACTTTTGAATCGCTCATGGGACAGATTGGGACTTTCAAATTTTAATTTTTTATGCTAAAATAAAGGTCTTTACCAATATTTAGCTCTATCGCAATTTTCGTTAATTCAATATTGTATAATGACGGGACTAAAAATAAAAAACCTTTGACACCTTTACTTCCGGCCGTGAAAGTTATCACTCTGATCAGTTAGATCATAGATGTACGTCCATAATCATATGCTTGCTTTTATATTTCCCGTTGTAATTACTCATTGATATACTTTCAAGGAGTTTTAAAAAAATTGTATTGATTTTTCTCTGAGTCTTAAATTTTTCAAGAAAACCGTTCACTGGGACTTAGATGGATTTTTTCTTTTCCAGATTTCAAGATGACTTGAAAACCCTCAAAAGAATTCCTCTTCTGCCTACTTTGCTCCACAAACGCAAATCCAATGAGGTCGAGGATACATCTGATGACTGTGATCTTACAAAACAAATGACTCTTTACGAGTGGATTGAAAGGGTTGATGATCAAAAGTCCATCAGCAAAATGTTTGAGCTTTGTTCCAACTCTCTGAACGAGGTAAGATTAAAAAAAAAAAAACATTTTTCATCATTCATTGATGATCCTTTTAAATGAGTTGGTAGGTTGAGAACCTACCAATGAACAATATCGGATTAGGGTTTCATTTGGAGCATATGTACACACATCGGAAAAGTCTAGGGATATTTTTAAAAATGGCAATAATTTTTTTTAGATCGCTTTAGGGAAAAAAAAGATGACGGGTGATTATTAAACGAATGTAACTTACAACAAAATTTATTAAATGGTCAAAAATACTGAGTGCGCATATAAGCAAAACTAAAAAAAAANTTTACTGAAATGGCTACTTTGTTTGTGTGTTATTAGTGTCAGTTGTCATGTTAATGGTTGGCGCCTCAGACTCAACTAAATAATAATACTAAATGGAAAATGAATACAATGAAAACGGCAAATCAAACTCAAACCTGGACATCATGAACATCAACTACATAGGACAACTGACACTAATGACATACACACAGAGTTCAGTTCAACAGTTAACCAACATGTACACGAAACAAGGTGTAATAAGCTCCAAAATTCAAAATAACAGCATACAAAATAGTTATTTCATATTTGTTAAATGCGTACCTTGCCTAACACATGGGCAGAAAAGTCTGAAAAATCATAAGTCATGATTGTGTGGCTGAAAAGCCACACAAGTCATGATTGTGTGGCTGAAAAGCCACAAAAGTCGTGATTGTGAGGCTGAAAAGACCACACAAGTCATGATTGTGTGGCTGAAAAGCCACAAAAGTCATGATTGTGTGGCTGAAAAACCCACACAAGTCATGATTGTGTGGCTGAAAAGCCACACAATCTTTTTATACTCGGAAGGAGTTTTTTATAAATTATCAAATATTCAACAATGTTTGAATGTTCTTGATATAGTAAGACATTCCAAAAAAAAAAATTAAAGATTTCATTGACACAATATGATATAGATGTATTTTAGATTCTAAACGAGCATTTTACATTGTTTGTTTGACTCGCAGTAGTAACTAAATCTATTCTATCAAATTTTATTGTAGTTGATTTTTTCCTTTTTTTTCAGTTTGACGATCGTTTTGTCTCAGAATTGTCTGCGGAAATTAAGGACGCTCTCAAAGCTTCCCAAAATTTATCCGTGAAGGAAGTTAGTGGTATGAGCGAAAGACTTTCAGGTTTGGATTCGTTATTGAGAGATTGTATGGTATTTGTATCCCATCAAAATGGTCATGCTCAAGCTTTCAAGAAAGTGAGTATGAAAGTTTGATTTAGATTAAAATAGAAATAATTTTTCTTCGCTAAAATACACCTAGAAGTATAGATTCTAGATTACAAGAAATTACGCCAAAGTATAGTACTTTCGATCACCTGGTAATGCGTGGCAGACACAGTGTTGCTTATTTATAAATCGTTATACACTGCAGACATAAATAGTCCTAACCTCTCAACTTCTCAATGGAACAAGATTTGATAAAAAAGTAGGGTAGGCCTTACTTCAGCGAGACAGTGACGTCATCACACCAGTCAGATTGTCTATTAGCTCGCCCAGTCAACCAAATTGTCACGTGGTGTCCTCAAACTGTCACCCAGCTAGCTGGGCGGTGAGACAGCCAATCAGAGCGTACCAAATTGTCACATAGCATCCTCAAAACTATCACCCAGCTTTCCAGCTAATCAGAGCATACGCTTCTGCATCTCAGAACATCGTGGCGGGAGATTTGAATTTTCTATGGACATAAATAATTCAAGCAGACAGACAACCAGGATCAGGCGTATCCCTTAACGAGACAGACCACCCAGTCACGTGGCGCGCTTATGTCAGCCCATGTTTTCGCTCAACATATTTTTGTTTCATGACGTCATGAAAAAGTTTTTGTTGGAGAATTGAACGCAGGTCGTTGGTGTGATAGACTTGATCTTTAGTCCGTTACACACCGTTAGATATTTGAAATTAAAGGGGGGGGTCTTATGAGTAATAGGTATAATTCTCTTCACATTTTTCTCTTTTTGAAAATCGCATCAGCTGTTAATGAGTAATTAGCAGTTTTAAGGATTTACAAACAAAAAAATGAATATAATTGTTCTGGAGAAGGCTGCGGTTGTGTAACATTGCGCCAAACCTAACAAAAATCCAAGGGTGTTATATCAGGTAATACAGCGGGTCATTCTAAGAGAACACGTTTACCTATCCACTGGTTTTGAAAATTGTCATCTAGCCACTTTCAAACCAGCTTTTCGTGATAAAGAGGTAGCTCATCTTGCTNAAACCAACATCAATATTAGCTACTGACGTTTGTACATACAGAGAATTCGTTTTTTATTGCTATGGTGGGTACGCTGTTTTTTCTGCTTTTAATCTTTAAAAGAAATCACATATCGACAAACTCCATATTTCCAAGAGGTGCAGTAAATAAATTCTGCTACACGTCATTTATTCCAGGATAACTAAATTTATGTTTTCAAAAATTATTAAGCGGTGCTGCGTTATGATGATTAATTAATGAAGAAAAGAGAAATTAAACTTTCTATGTTTTTTACCACTTTTATTTGTAACTAACCTTACTGCAGTTTCGTCCTATAAAGACATTTTCAAACTTATATATTGTGTAATATGGGGCTCATATTTGGTGGAGGGACTCAACCGGGTACAAGGTATCCCCCTGTATATTAATCTGCCGCACCTTAGTAAATCCCGAAATCCCCGCTGGGACTCCCCTATTATCTCTCTTCGACTTCGTTCTTGTTTAACTTTTCTCTCTGTATATCTTTCACTCTTCGGTAAAACTTTTAAAATTGCAAAGATTTTCAGTCTCCACTATGATCAATCTTTTTTTCAGCACGAGGCCACTGTGAGGTCCTCAAAAGATCAATCGGTTCTTCCCGATCTGTGCAAGGCCCACGAAAATCAATTGATATTGATGACTGAAAACCATAAGTGTATCTGTGATATTCTTCGACGCTGTGTCAATGCCAAGAACGAGCTGATAGCGAATTTACATGCAAGATTGAGGTTAGTTTAAGATCAGCATTTTCATTTACAAATAATGTAGATGCATCATCCCGGATGATGATGATACACTTCATTGTGCAGGAAATGAATCGTTATTACAAAGCTTGAGTGATACAATGTAGTATACAATGTAAAATGAATAATAATACTTTGTAATGATTCCAATTTTTTTTGTATTATGATTTTTTTTCGGGTGCCAAAGAAGAGCCATATTTTTTTTAAAAATATCCCTAGACTTTTCCGATGTGTGTAAATAAGAATATATGCCCACAAATTAAGTAAAAATTTTACACCATTCACATAATTTATTGTTGTGAGATTGTCAATTAAAAAATCTTCGTAACTGTAATAGCATCTTTCTAAAAGCATAGTTTTAACACAATCATGAAATACTTTGTCACTTGTGGTTTTTTTAACTACATTTGGCAGCTCATTGAAGCACGGAATGGCATTATACTGAGGGGATTGTTTATAGCTTGTCATGAGATGCTGTGGGAATTTTTAGAAGATCGCCATTTCTTGTATTATGACTGTGTTCTGATGCAGTCTTATCACATAATTTATGGCTTTGCGAAGAACAATACGACCACAAATAATTGTATATCTAAAGCTGTATAAAAATCAAAGTAACGAAACTAGCATTAAAATAAGGAATGTATCAGAAGGAATCTTCAAAGTACTATTCAAGGTTATATTAAGCTTTTTCCACCGAAAGGTTCTTCACCCTTTTATAAATTCAATAAGGGATTATGTGTTCGTGATTTCAACAGGTAAGTTATTATACGATGTCTGTTTGAAAAAGTTGACGTGAATTTTCATTTTTCTCAAGAAATAGCATCAATTTTTATTACTAATGACACACTTCTATTAGCTTTACCTGTATGTATGTTTGTTTGTAACTCTCAAGCACGGGATCTGTATTTGACAGATCTATTCGCGGGCAGAGGGCGCTGTAAGTAACTTCCTTGATATATTGACATTATTGCTTAATCTATTCGCGGGCAGATGGCGCTGTACGCTTTTATAGCATTGTTTTTCCACAATGCCGGACATTTTCTCCGTTTTGCTTCTCGTAAGCGGCGCATAACTTCAAGATGATACTTCTTATTGACCGTACGACTATGTGGCAAGAACTCCTGGTGCACTACGCCACGATAATCGAAGAAGACAGTGGACGAAACCTTGACATTTCATCGAACTTGGCGTGCTCTTGGTCTTGGCTTTACTGGGCTGTTCCATTGGGATGATTGGACTTTGATTTCGGTTTCATAGATATAAACCTATGATTCTTTACCCTTTTAAGCAAATCTGGATCATCATTGACGTCATTCAACAACGTTTTTTTGGTTGAAATTTAGCAATTTTGGAACGAATTTCGCTGCAACAGGATTCATGCCCAAAAATTTTTTGAAAAAACTGCGTGAGGAGCCATTTGATGATACTCCATGACAATTTTCTTCACTTTCTCAACATTTTCATTGATTGTTGATGTACTGTAACAATCTGAATTTTTAAATGAAACTAAAGCAGCGTTTTAAATTTTTTTTAATATGAATTTTCCACTAGAACCATTAAATCAGCGTTTATTTGATACTGTCGTCATGCGTATTGAATCTTCTTGCTTTAATCTCTGTATGATTGTTAATTTTTGTTACTAGATGGGTTGCATATGTCCAGAACCGTATTTGTGAAATGGACCATAAGATTGTGGTGAATCTAACAAATTTGAAACGCGTTCAGAAATATTTGGAAATTCTACACCAGATCCATGTCGCCCCTAGCACTTACCTGAATGCCATCATCGAAGTGGTCAGACGCCGCAAGTACTCTGCATCTCTAAAGACAGTGAGTAACGCTTCAGTAGCTTCAATTTTTACTGATTCACAGGTAGGGACGATTACATTTGATACATTCACATTCACCAACTCGATATTTTCTAATTGTTTTGTTTGTAATGAATTATCATCTCTTCTTCGAAGAAGATTTAAAAATGAGTCACTCGGTAACATCATTTCTTACAGGGTGTCCCAAAAAAATCAAACAAACTTTCAATGAAGAACTACAGGCCTGTTGGTGTGCTCTCCTGCTTTTCAGAACATTTTTTGAGTATGCTTTTCTGTGAGACTTGAAATTCATTGAGAATAATCTCATCTCTGAGAATCAGCATGGTTTCTGCCAAAAAATCGGCTGACACTGCTAACTTATCATTTTAAACAAAGTTATTTCCGTTTTTATCAAATTGTAAAATAGTCTGGTTCACATGTACTCGATTTAGCTGTTTTTGGTGACATTTTTCAGCCCTGTCCAAAAATTACGACCAAGGTGTCATTCGATTCGTATTTTTGCCTAGAAAGTTTAAAGGAAAGGTCCGAAAACGCGCCGAAAAAGATTACAAAAGTTATAAACAATCAAGTGAAAAAAAATGGGGCTTTAGTTTTTTCTTAATATCTCGGAAAATTTTCAAAATTTTNCTAAAAATACTTTGGTATCATTACTTTACCATTAATTTTTAATATAAATACATAATATGCCCGAAAAAGCACTATCACTCACTACGTAGTACGTACCACACCTGCATCAACAAAACTCAAACGAATGAACCATCAACCCGAAATAATAAATGCCATACGTTGCAAGGGAAAAAAACTAAAGCCCCATTTTATTTTCACTTAATTGTTTATAACTTTTGTAATTTTTATCGGCGCGTTTTCGGACCTCTCCTTAAACTTTCTAGGCAAAAATACGAATCGAATGACACCTTGGTCGTAATTTTTGGACAGGGCTGAAAAATGTTACAAAAAAAAGTACATGTGAACTAGACTAAAAGTAGTTTTTCCTGTCTTTCAACAGTGGGGCGAAGAACTGTCGAACAACTTTTTGGCTTTACACACGAAGGAACTCGAGAGAAGGAAACAATTCGACATGGAGTTCAAAGGTCACTTTTTAAAAACTCTCTTTCCCGGCATGAACGACATCCCTCCAGAGTTCGCGACTCGCCCTCCTCCACCCTTTGACGAAGAAATGCCGGACATCACTGAAGAAGACATTATTTTTCTGAAGGGAGCTTTGCCCGATATGACAGAAAACATAAAAATTCCCGAGTCGTTCCGCCTAGTCGACTTGTTGGGGAGCAAAGGGGAAGAGTTGAGATTTGAACTAACAAGGGTCCCAGAAGAGAATCTGGAAGAGAGACTCGGTGCTACCGAATCAGATTGCGATAGCCTTGGCGACGAATCTAAGCCTCTAGAGGAAGAACTGAGAGATATTGTTCAGGAAGTGGAATCTGACAGCGATTCAGATGATATGATCTCTAAACTTGAGCCCATTTACAGGAAATTAGAAGAGATACAGGCGAAAATTTGCGAAGTTGACTTATCTGAACCTTCAGGAGTAGAGGTTGCTTTCCAGGAAGAAGAGGTAGGGGCAAGAGTTTGCGAAGAAGTTGAGTTGGTTGGCGCATCAAATCAAGTTGATGAACGGCAGTCATCCGATGAGGAATCTAACGAAATCCCTGAGCTTGAGTACATTCCTAAGAAATCAGAAGATATAGGGGCAAGAGTTTGCGAAGAAGTTGAGTTAGTTGGCGCATCAAATCAAGTTGAGGAACACCAATCATCCGATGAGGAATCTGATGATATCCCCGAACTCGAGTACATTCCTAAGAGATCAGAAGAGATAGTGGCAAGAGTTTGCAAAGTTGAATTTGTTGACTTATCAAATCAAGTTGATGAACAGCAGTCATCCGATGAGGAGTCTGATGAAAGGATCCCTGAACTTGAGCCCTTTTGTAGGAAATCAAAAGATATGGTCCCTGAACTTGTTGATATTGGTGGTAAATCAGAAGAGGTGGCTCCGGAACTGGAGGACATCGATGTTGAATCAGAACAGATGGTCCCCAGAATTGAGGCAATTGCAAATTTTGCCAATTGGAAGCCTTGCTCGACCCAAGGAGGTGGTTTTGATAGGTAAGTCAGTAAATATCAATATTACTTTGTTTGAATTCCACTGGATGAAAAGATTATTAGATTATGGTTTTCATATTTGGAGGGTATTGAGCCTAGTCATTGGAAAAATGTTGGTAAAGATTTTTAAAGTGTTTTCTTTCAATTTCTAGGTGTTTTCAGGTTTTCACCTTTCGGTAGGTTTTTTTTTCATTTATTATGGATAAGTTGGACGAAATTAAAAAATCTGACGATATAGTCGATTGGTGGCTGACAAATAATTTTAAGTCTTTATTTTATGATAATGATTTTTACATTATTAAAACTCTGGGAAGGCCTCAACCAAATTTGATTTCAATTAAAGCGTCAGATAATCGACAAAGTCGAGGATTTAATATTAGTTGGTACGATAAATGCGATTGGTTAACCAGCTCCATCAAACAAGAAAAACTTTTTTGTTGGTTCTGTGTTTTATTTTCCGTACAAACCGAATACCAAACGTGGTCTAAAATAGGATACTCCGATTTAAAAAATTCACCTCGTTCTAAAGAACGACATTTGAAATCTAAGGAGCATATATTTACGTCTTGTAAATTAAAAATAAAATATAGCAAACAAAATGTAGCAACAGCTTTAGATACAGCTCAAAAAGAGGCCATAATTTCTTTTAATACCTAACCAGGTTGGGGAAAATCGATCGAATTTAAAAAGACTTAATTATCGATATTATGATTTATTTGGGTTCCCAAGAATTAGCTTTTCGCGGACACGATGAAACCAAGATTCGATTAATCGCGGCAATTACAAGGAACTTTTAATGTTATGGGGCAAATATGATTCACAATTTGGCACTTTTTCAAACGGTAGCGTTTTTTTGGGCACATCAAAAACCATTCAAAATGAGCTTATAGTGTGGCATATATTATTAAAGAAAATATAAGCAAGAAGATTGCTTATATCGAAAAACTACGATACCTAGGGAGACGTGAAAGTTGCTATTATGTTTTTATTCAACTCAGTCAATCAATTTCCAGGGTCATAATTCCAAAGGGAATAATTCACACAATTATAATCGAATATTACCGAAAAATCCCGAAATATAAAATTGAATTTAATTTCTCAGTATAAAGTGAACGTCTACGATCCAAAAACTACAACAAAAAATACAGGTCCGTATTTAAAAATGCAAAGATCGGGGTGGCCCAAGTCAGATGACACCATGTATAAAAGATTCATGTATATATTCTGAGAGCCCACATCAAGTGCCAATAGCAAAATGTGGACAGATTTTCAATATGTCTACGAACAAAGAAGACATAGTAAAAAAAATAATTTGGGATTTTCTTGTTTTTCCTGTATCTCCAGAACCAAAACAGCTATAGTCGATGTCTGTACATCATTGAATAGGTCTTCAAAATACACAACTTTGCCACAATTTAACCGACACTCTATCTCTTATGGTGTACGAGATCCCCATGTACAGAAACGAATTTGAATAGCCCTGTATATAAATTATTTCTGTGATCATCTCGTCACAAACGTACTACATGGGCTGTAAAGCCTCGGATCTAACATATACCGGGTGTCCCACATTTTATGTGACAGGCAATATCTGGTTTGTTGAAGGAGATACACAAAAATGTTTCATACAAAAGTTTTAGGAGTTCATGAGAGCTATATTTTGATATAATTTTTAAATATACAGGGTGTTTGGTGTAGGTGCTACAGACCAAAATTCCATTTTTTAAA